TCTCATATGACGATCGACATCTGAGGTGCCTCAGTTATCACCTGAGGCAAGAATCGATCTGAGGCACAACATATATACGGAATTTTAAAAGATCATCATTTTTATATGCAGCTATATATGAATTTGATTTACATAATATATTGCATACCCCAACCCGTGACGAGTTAAACATATAATCTACCTTCAACCCCCATAAGTGCACATAAGCGGAAAATGAGTGGGGAAAGGTGCACTTATGATATTAACACATCTGATTAAAATGACCGATTTTCGTCGAATTAAAGAGATAATTGATACTCTATATTCATATAGTTACCATATAGTCGCGAAATAACGCGTTATACTAACGAACATTGTTTCGCGACTATAGACATTTCCACCGTAGCATTTGCTGTATTTCCGATGACATCTGTTATTAGTTATTTTAATACACAATCCTCCGTATGGTTCCAGCTGAGTGCTGCAAAAAAGATCTACGGAAAATCAATTTTTATTATAAATTTTATACAACTACTCTGTGTCTTAAGTGAAAAATGATTCTGATCTTATTCTAAATTAATTTAATAAAAAATTAATTTAGAAATTCCCTTTTTTGAATTATTAAACATTATTTAACTCAGCGATGTATGTAGTACAGTACGTATTCTAGTATGAAATAGATTTTGCCGGTATTGATTTTTCTTAATCGATCAATACTTATCCTTTTTTATTTGGTGCATGTAATTAAAAACTTGCTATGAAAAAATAATCTTTTGAACGAATACAAGGGGAAATGAGTTAAGGCAACTCGCCAGAGGCGTGACTATGGTGATTGTCAGGGATAAATGATGAGAGGGGAATTATCATCAGGTTAGTATCCTTATGTGCCCCTTCCTCGCACATAAGCGTCGTAACCAACTATACCCAAGTTTCGCCTCTAAATAACTTTTTCGAACTAATAACAAAGCTTAAACGGCTTAAGCATTTGTAGTTATACTAAGCCTTTTCATTGTGACTCATATTTGTTATTTTTTATGACTCATTGTTCTCAATGACCTTCGGCCGATCAAGCCTCAAAGAAGCAATAAAGTAAGTAAAATCTTTCAATGGACATTAAAATATAAATTCTGATTACAATACTCAAAACCAAATGCTAATTTTGGATTTTAAAAAATATATAAGCTAAGTACTAGGAAAAGGAGAAAAATTGACAACCAAATAAGATTTGCTAAAAATACATTATACTGTATTATGATAATGCTAAAACTTTACAGTAAATCATAAACAAACAAACTTTTAAGAGCTATGCTGTAAATTTTATTAATACAACAGCCTTTATTTCTTAAGTAAAAAATATTTGTGTTAAATAAGTTTTTTGAAAAATTGTTGATTTTTCCTCTTTTCTTTATATATTCAAAGAAATCAACTATACTATATATATAGTAGTAATTATTTAATTAATACAGTCAAACATCTCTATAATTACACAATTGGTTTAATAAATTCTGTGCTTATAAAAAATTGTGCTTATATAGAGGTTAAATTTTGTTTCATATAAGTTGATTTTAAAATTAGTGTTATTTTAAGTAAATGTGACTATCTAGAGTGTGACTATAGAGAGGTTTGACTTTAGTTAAATACTTTTGTCATATACGTATCTTCATTTTCTTGAGACCACAGGATTTATTAAGAAAAATAAATTATCAAATAAAGAGAAAGACTGCATAAGTATTGCATATAATCATACAATTTTAAGAAATTAAATCAAATTAAACAAAACATTAAAAAGCATTATACTTATTATACAATTAGTAGGCTAAAAACAAAAAAAGGATTGATTAATGTATAATAAAACTACATAATTTATATAGTGGTCAAACCATCCCATTTTAAGGTTTGCACCAACAATTAGGTCATTAAAAAAAAAGAAAGAAAGAAAAGGAAAGAATTATATTATCAAAAAATCATCGAGTGCCATGTAAATAAGTCCAATCATTCGTCGTTGAAAACTGGTCTGTGCAGTAGTTACTGGTCATATCCATAAAAGGTAGGACCAAATCGTTGTATTGATAACTTTCAGATACGAAAGCATCTTTAATCATGTCACTTATCTTTACTGGATATTGCCCTGAACTAAACATCGACGGTGACGGGTACGGAGATTCTGGAAAATAGTAATCTGGAGTTAAAGGAGTTGGTGGTAATTCTTGATGACATTCCTGCGGTGAATGGTCATCATATATCTGTTGGTTGTTTGCAATGGCCGTGGAAAGACGCGTTAATTGTTCTTGTTTATTTTTACTTATAATTTTTTTCGTTTGGGAAGTTAATAAAGATGAATCTGAAAACAATAACGAAGAATTTGATGATTTTCTTCCTTTTTTTGAACCCGACCTAGATAATTGCTTGTGCAACCATTTAACTTCTTGGGCAATATCACTATATTTCCTGATAACGTGATTAGGCTCCCGTTTCCATGCTTGAGCCGCTAAACAAGATACTTCGCTCATGGAAAGGTTATACCCTTGTGTCCTAACTTCTTTTGCAAATTGATTACGATAAATTAAAAATTTGTTCGTACATCTTGCGAGTAACGCTCCATCTTTATTGATCCGAATTAAAGAGGCTGCATTTACTGCCGGTGGAAAAGGTACATGTACAGGTGCATGCAATTTTGGTTCAGGTCTGCGAATTGCTCGTACCGGTGTTGGCTCCGTTCCATTCTCCAAGATAATTATGAGTTCTTGCTCGGTTGTTTTGTCAGCCTCGCTACTATTGCACGCATCTAGCGACATTATGATATTTGTCATGCAAGGAAAATACTCAAAGAAATGTGGAAGACACAACTAAAAGCTTATATTATTTAATAAAGGATTTGTCGTATCTTTAGATAGTGAGCAAGAACGAAATACCAACTCAAGAAGTCGCAATAATTTACTATCACTTTACAAATTTCTTAGTCAATGTCTGTTTAGTACATACGTACGTACTTATGCATGTTAATTTATGCATTTAACCTAAAACTAACTGATGAGATAACGGTTCGGAAGACTGTAAAAGGGCAAGAAAAATTCTTCATGGTTACGATTTACATACAAATCACTTGAATTACGGATAAACCTCTAAAAACGAACACAACAAACGACGTATATCATCTTTATAAACAAATTTTGTTACTTTCGGGAAATTTGGATAAAAGTGCTTCCTTACTAAACTCATATCTTCATTCTAATTTACTAGCGTGTAGATATTCACAAGCGTTCACATGAATTGATGTATGTACCAGGTTATTTCTACAGAATCATTTAAATATTCGGTGCAGGGTCTTTCTTCAACTAAGGTGATCATCTCAACCACCGGACCCTTTATAAGAAATTCAATGCTAATGTGTTAAATTAGGGCATTGAGCATTTATTATATTTTAAATGACTCTTAAGCCATTGGTTACTTGAACTCTTTCGGCTGAAATTAGCCGTAACAAGAATCAATTCCAATTTCTTAAGTTCGGCTCCGTAAGTTTTGATCAACGAGCCCGAAGAAGACCGAGGACCGGTCGGAATTTCTTATTTAATTTTTTCCCTTTATCAGCGTGTATTCACATTTTCCCGTTACGCAATGCACATATATATACTAGCACTCAAAAATACTAAGCATTTCAACCATCAATTATTTTGATGTAACTATACACTTTCGTTACGATAATTATTACTATTTAATCTATTTGCTCTAATATCACATGACAAAACTGTTTAATCATTGTTATGTATATATTATAAATTTCAAATTTCAAATTCAGCAACATCCAAATTGATCGCCTGATCAAGCCCTAAACTAATATGAGTGCATATCTTCAAATTTATCATTTTTGGAATACAAACCGATATCCAATAACCTAACCTTATCTCGTTTCTTACTAAATTACGCGATAAATGTTGTCAGTTGGTCGGTCCGTCTGTTTATTAAAATAAGATTAATTTTCGGGGAATCTCTATAGATGAGGATAGAATGCTAGATTTCTTCGGGTAAAATACCGTAGTGCACTGACCAAAAGACCCGAGATCTAATACAAAATACCCGTCAAAACTTACAAAAGACCCAGGTATATTATACAGTAGTGGGTCTGTGTCACAAGAAAGAGAAATACATACTCTGCATTCATGATAAGCAGTTTAAATTTTTAAAAAATCCTATACTTAATTAATAGAGAGATCTCGTGTTTGCACCGGGTATTTTGCAAGGGGGATATTGAAAAAGGGGGATACTTTGGTCAGTGGTAACTTGAGATGGACATTTCGACATTCTGATATATAGATACGTAAATAAATCGCTGAATAGTGATCTTTTCCAATCATGCTTTTAATAAATTTGATATTTGATTGGTTAACTATGTGGTCACATGTACTGTATTAATTTACATCGCCTAGTCGCATCTGATAAGATCAGGTGTAACGTGAAATCAAACCGTTTTTTTTATAATATGGTTAGGGTTAGTGTTAGGTAAGTCAGGGATTTTGCCCGATATAGAAATTAATCTGCAATATATTAAAAGGTTATTCTAAAACCGATTTCTATTTAAAAAAAAGCATTTTTTATTATCAAAACTAAAATATTCTTGCAAAGGTTATTCTATTATGAATATGTAGTCTAGGGATCCCTGAGGTTTTAAAGGACGGTTGTGCAAATAACAGCACAACCAATGATTGTGCAAATTTAGTCCTATAGAGTCGGTTAAAGCGGAACGAATTCGATATATATGGTCTACATACTGCATAAGTTGCATTCTTGATTTCTATATAACTCGCTCACCATAACAGCATCAAAAGGTAAACTATAATCAAATAAAAGGAGACGAACAAGAGGTAAAACTCGCTTGCTTTAACCGACCCGCAAAAAAAGAGATCAGCTGCGATCACGTGATTAATAGCCAATCAAGCTATAAATTTTGATTAACGCAAGATATACAAAAACGAGTCTCTAAACCTGCTTACTTACACGGAGTTGAAAATCCCTACAGGGTGGAGGCGGATTTGGGATCACATGATACATGACCAATCAAATTATAGAATTTTGATGATCGCCGGCGAAGCAAAACAAGAAAAATACCTCGGGAAGTTATACTGTATATAACTACCTAAAACCTAACCTAACCCTAAGATAAGATGACCCTAACCCTAAAGTTAATTCAATAAAATATATATTATAAGAAACTGCCGTCCCTGATTTTTGGCAAAACGAACGATTTTCCCGAATGTGTAACATTACACCTGATCTTATTCGATTGAACGAAGTGACGTATAAGACGCATTTACTCTTAATTAGATAGCAGATAGTTGCTTCAAAAGTTTTAAATCGATTACCCCTGGTATAGATCCGAATCTAAAACGAGGGTTTACTATTAAGAGGATGGTTTATATAGTCACCAATTTGGCCAATTTTTTCAAATTATTTCGAAGAAAAATTTTATTTTGTTTGGTTAGGGTTAGGGCTTGCCACTAGGTTGGGGTTAGGTGCAGTGTTGGAAATCATATGTTCACAGTGTTCACAAGAGCATAAATTTTTTAAAAAAATCAAAATTTTTTTATTTTATGTTCACATTTGTGAATATAAATAATTTCTATTTAATTAATAAAATTTTATTTATGAATATTATTTTTTTTTAATGTGAACATGATAATAAACAAAATATATTCACAAAAATCATCATACTGTCTTATAAATTTCCAATACTGGATGGGTGGAGGTGGGTTGAGGTGATCATTTAGTAAACCCTAATTAGCTGATTTCTGAAAGCCCTCTAACTTACTAAGAATTTATTTTTCTTTGATTATTGGTTAACAACTATCCTTATTAATACTATCTAATTATATTTATATTCCACAATATAATTGCATCTTGGCTATAGCTAGTACTTACAAATAATACAAAACATCAAATTGTTAATCTTAAAGTAAGATTATTATATTATATACTCTCTATTCTATATATAATCAGATCTCTTTAAATGTATAGTATCAAAACTATAGTAAAAAAATTTTTTTTTTGGTGTTCAGGTGGGATCTTGCCCATGACTTTATATATTGTTAATACTTTCATTACATGTATTACTACATTTTCGTATTTACATATATCAAGTATACCAAGCTCAGATCCAGATTCTATTGGTTATCTACGCTCTGGCCGAAATCGTCACTTGCGCGATAGGTGTCTCCATCCACTATCTGGCCACCAATCCATTATCTGTGATCCAAACCTACCAGAGTAGTATGTCCTTATAGATAGCACTTACCCAGTATTTTTTCACCCTTTACTAGTCTTATTTTGGTACACTTCTCTATGACATCATTCACCGCATCTCTCATACTACTTATATCTAAGCTTCTAAATTTGGTAGTCTCTTCTGGGATATGGTCTCATAGCCTCAAGGGCTACTTCCAATCTTGGTTATCTTCAGCTAGTCTGCCCAGGTAGTATTACGAAGAGGAACTCATGTTGGTCCAGGTTAAGCCTCGTCATTAACGCCTAGTTTAGTTAGTATGCTGCTAATTCCCATTACCTTTATAGATAGGTACTCCCGTGTGTTGGTGTAGGCTCGCTATATTGCATTATAGGTTACTCTATAACTTTCAGATTGCGGGTTTCGTATTACTTCTCTTCCATAGTTTGAGCTATGGTGTTCTGATGCTCTGATATTTTAGGTTACAAAGCTCTAGGAGTTTAGACCTAGTTGCAGCTTGTGGTCTGTAATACTTCCAATTTCAGTATTTGGTGTTCCTTATTAATTTCTGATATACAAGCCAATTTGTACAATTGTACTACCAGCTCGGTGAATCTAGCCATTTCAAGTTTTTACTACGTACCCCAAGTTTCAGCCTTCTTGCTCTGTCCTCACAGGTTTCTTCCTTAACAGGCCAAGTGGCTTAGGACCAGAGGTGCTTCCGAACTCCGAATAGACCAATTCTTTATCACAAATCATCCTTGTGTTTATCACTTTTCTCACTACTCCAGTTTTGTTACCGTCGTATTACTCTTCTAATCAAGTACTTTAACTACTGGGGATGTTGGTGCTGCTCTGATCACCCTAATCAAGGACTAACATGCGTAACTTTTCGTATAACAGAACCTTCTATGATCTGTTATATATAGTGCCACCACTCCATGATTGGACCTTCTTCCAAAAATTTCTTTATCTGGTTTCGTACTTGCATTTAGACTTAACCACAGGGTTCTGCATTTAATTATGGCCCCCTATTGGGTTACAGAAGCTAAAAATCCTAAGATTTTGCCTTCAGCCCAACTTAAACCATCGATCTAGTCTGTGGGGGTTTGGCAGCTTAACCGCTAAGCTATAAGACCCAAACCCTCCTATAGTAAAAAATTGAGAAAGTATGCATTTAAAAAGGCTATACATTTAGAAAAGTAAAAATCTATAAGTGTTATATTAGTTGAACCCCAAAAATATATATATTTAGATAAGTTTTTTATATATATACATTTAAAAAGATTGCATTTAGTGAGGTCCAACTATATTCTAAAAATTCTACTGCTACTTAATTTCTTTTGTGATCTTCTATAGCTATACTAATTTATCTTTTCATACTTTTTTTCTTTTCTTTCTAAAAGTAGTCTGCTCTGATACTTCAATTTTCTATTTTCTCTCTTCTTTATGTTTTTTCTAGTTTCTGAGCTTTACTTTATTTTTTTACTCTCGATAGTATTTTTTATACAAATTTTCTTAAGAAGTATTTTTCTATAACTTTTTTTTTCTTCTAGTTTCTCCAATATTACTTTTGATTAT